GCTCAGTGTTCAGAGCGTCAGCCCACACACCAAAGGTCGGTCGCTGGTTTGATTCCTAGTCAAGGGCACATACCTGGGTTGCAGGTTCAATCCCTGGCCCCCATAGGGTGTGTGTGGGAGGCAACCAGTCCATGTGCCAATCTTGCATCAATGTTTCTCCCTCTCTCCCCCCTCCCTCTTACTCTCTCTGAAAAAGCAATGGAAAAAATATCCTCAGGTGAAGATTAATAACAACAACAAAAACTAAAAATAACAACGTAAAGTAGTCAATTCCTACAGAAACATTAGACACTGTTTGAGATTAGGGGCCCCAAGTGGCAAACCAAAAATAAAGGTTCCAAGTTCTGAGACTCAGAAATAGCAATCTCTTTAGGAGAACACCCAGCTTTCGACTGAGTTGGGAGTTAATTTCTTATCATCATAGCCAAGGGATTAAAGAAGGCACAGGGAAACGGATGACCTCAGAAGTCCCCTTATTCAGACCAGTCAAGGGAATCCCCTTATATCTGTATTGCATGAGGAACCTTAGAGTAGCCAATTGAGGCTTCCTGGTTTAATAAAAATGATGGAGAGTCTTATAAAAACTCCTCATAAGTTTTAATAGGGATTTTAGCAGCTTATTTTGGTTGCAGTTTCCAAATTTTTAAAAATGTTTAATGTCCACCTTCCCCAAATCCTAATTTCTGTAGATTCAACTGCATTGAACCAATGCTTTCTCATATCTCAATTCTTTGTATATGCGTTCTTTTCAGATGTATTAAACAAACCAAAAGAAGAAGGTCCCTTAATCATATTTGTAGATAACTATACTCTAGACCTATTAGGAAGAGAATCAAATGATCAAAAGGAAGACAATTTCTTCTCAAAGGATTAAAAGCTCACCTGACAAGGGGGCAATAAATTTGCTAGGAGGGCAATAAAGAATTTTTCTCTGTTAACAAAAAGAGATTTGGGCCCTGGCCAACATAGCTCAGTGGTTAGACTGTCAGCTCACGCACCAAAGGATCTCGGGTCCAATTCACAGTCAAGGGCACATCCATAAATTGCAGGTTTGATCCCCGGACCCGGTTGGGGCACGTGCAGGAGGCAACCAATTGATGTATCTCTCTCACATAGATGTTTCTCTCTCACCTCTCTCTCTCTCCCTCTCCCCCCTCTCTTCCACTCTCTCTAAAACTCAATGGAAAAAAATATCCTGGAGTGAGGATTAACCCAAAAAAAAGGAGATTTGGTGTTCTGTGCACCTTAATATGAATATATAATATTCAAATGACACAATTTCCTCACCCTCCAGGAAGCAGAGCTTTATCTTCCCGCCTTGATAAAGACTCAAGAGTAGACTGCACCTGAACAAGGGTCTGGTAGAAGAGGCAGCTACTTCAAGCCAATGGTCCCAAGAACTGTCACCTTCATAGAGAACCTCTAGTGTTTGTGCAGCACAGGGCATTTAGGGCACTCGCAGATTCTCAGTGATGATATCAAAGGAAAACATGCACTGGGTCAAATCAAAATTATTCCTAGGGAAAGAAATATAACAAGAGGGAAGATGAATAATGTAGGCATCAGATAAGAAAAAGCAAGGGTTCATAGTTGTTCATGACATTATAGTAGTGAGTTCAGACAAGTAAAGAATTGAAACTAATAATAGCTAACATGAATGCTTACTATGTGGCAGGCGCTGTGCAAAGCATGTGTTATCATTAAATCAACATTCCAACAACCTCATGAGGTTATTATACCATATTATAAATGAGGAAATTGAGGTTCACAGATACACAGCTAGAGAGTGACAGAGCTGGCACTGGAGCCTAAGGTACCTGCCCTTAGTTTGTGCTCTTATATAATAAACTATCATTCAGGAGAGAATCAGATTTTGACCCTTCTAGCTTTCTTTTTCTTTTGCCTGTTAACCACTTCCTACACATGCATACCCCTCTGAATGGGTTTCATTGGCACTATTATAATCTACTAGATCTTTCATATTCTGGAAGACATTTTGATTTACTAAAAGGAACCAGGGTTCCTTGGAGAAATGACTGATTCTGCAATGGCTGTGGCAGGAATATGAAAATGAACATCCCACAGTGCCAGAAAGTGCTCAAAACACAAAACAATGGAGGCATGCCAAAGGGGCATAGGAACCAAAGTGAAATAGCTTCCAAAGGACAAAGCTGAAACAATTTGAGAAACCAAATAATTCTTCCTTATAGAAGAATGCTAAATAATTTGTGTGGATTCTCACCCGCCAGGGAGTGGAGATTTATCTTCTCCAACCCTTCTTGAGTGTGGGCTGCACTTAGTGACTTCCTTCTAAAAATATGGAGTATAGAAAGTAGGTAACCTGACTTTGCAGAGGAGAAACCTGGCAAATACTACTGTGGCCAATTGATCAAGGCCTTGATACGATGTGATGAAAATGACATTTTAGTTGTGTGGTCTTCCCAAAAACCAAAGAGATAAAAATTATAAAAAGGAACCAAACAGAAATTCTAGAGCTGAAAATATAATAACTGAATTGAAATATTCACTAGAGGGGTTCAACAGTAGACGCACACAGGAAAAAAGAATCAGTGAAGTTGAAAACAGATCATTTGAAATTATGGAGACTAAGGAGCAAAAAAAAAAAACACAAAAAAAACCCACAAAAAAAACCCCACAACACAATAGAATGAAGAAAAAAAAAGTGGACAGAGATTAAGAAAGTTATGGAACATCATCAAGCAATATATCCATTATGAAAGTTCTAAAAGGTTGAAAGAGAAAGAAAAGAGAAAGAGGCAAAGAGGTTATTTGAAGAAATAATCACTGAAAGCTTCCCAAATTTGAGGAAAACCATGAATTTACAAGTCCAAGAATCATAATGAACCCCAAGTAAGATAAACCCAAAGAAGCCTACACCAAGATACATTATAATCAGACTCTCATCACCAAAGTGGGAATCTTGAAAGGAGTAAGAAAAAAGCAACTCTTCATGTACAAGGATCCTCAATAAGATTATCAGTGAATTCTCAGTGAAAGCCTCAAAGACCAGAAGGGATGAGATAATATATTTATAGGGCTGAAAGAAAAATAATGTCACCTGAGAATTCTATATCTGGCAAAACTATCCTTCAAAAATGAAGGTGAACTTAAGACATTCTCAGATAAACAATATTCAACATCACAAAGGATATTTTAGCCACAGCAATTAGGTAAGAAAAATAAATAAAAGGCATCCAAACTGGAATGGAAAAGTTAAAATTACCACGGCATGCAGATGATATGATCTCATATGCAGAATACCTTAATATTTCTCTCAAACCCATTAGAATAAATGAATTCAGCAAAATTGCAGGACACAAAATCAACACACAAGAATATGTTGCATTTCTATATACTAACAATGAACAATCTGTAAAGGAAATTAAGAAAACAATTCTACTTATAATAGAAATAAAAGGGCCCAGCCAGGTGTGGCTCAGCGGTTGAGCGTCGACCTAGGATCCAGGCGATCCGGGTTCGATTCCCGGTCAGGGCACATGCCCGGGTTGTGGGCTCGATCAATGACTCTCTCATCATTGATGTTTCTATCTCTCTCTCTCCCTCTCCCTCCCCCTCTCCCTTCCTCATTCTGAAATCAATAAAGATATATTAAAAAAAAAAAGAAGAAAGAAAAGGAATAAGCAAAGGCAACAAAAGCGAAACGAAACAAGTAGGACTATACAGCAAGCTAAAAACCTTCTGCACAGCAAAAGAAACAATCAAGAGACTCAAATATAAAAAAAGCAAAAGCTTAGGAAATATGCCTTGCACCCACCTCCTCTTTTATAACTAGTGGAGTAGGGATGGTTGATGAAGTGATAGAACCATTCTCCACAGAGGGTTAATGGCACCAGAACTAACCCTGGCTAAGTGCCTCAACCTATTCTGGGTGGTTCATTATTGTGGGTCATTGATCCACCATCGCCAGGTCACACACTCTAAGTTCTTCTCCCCCAAAATGGTAATAAAATATGTTAAGCCATCCATATTTCTCAGTTATACTCGTTGGCAGTAGATACAACAGTAAGCATTCAGTCTCTGGAGCCAAAGCAACCTTAGTCCAAATCATGCCTTTGCTGCTAGTTACGTACCCCCAGTCAATGACGTTTCCTGTTCTAAGGCTGTCTGCCACCCCGCCCCATCACCACCACCAAGCACATGGAGCCCTGGGGCTAGACAAGAGTAGACGGGGGCCTGTTCTCCTTCTACCTCCCCATCTTCTCAGTTATGTGTTAATGCTCTGACGTTGAATGCCCCTCATTCTCTCATTCTTCTAGGCTGCCTCAACTCTCTTTCCCCACCCCCTTACACTCACAGCTTTTACAAAGTGATAATTTGCACGCCGCTGGGGCGGGGCCAAGCACTTCCCTCCCCTAAGAGGGCGTAATTAAAATCAAAGGGCCATAGTTGTTAGGTAATGACTTCCCGTTACCTTGGTAAAGCCGCTGCCGACATCTTTATCGTGGTCATCAATTACTTGTATTAGCCTAATAAAAAAAACGAATAATAAACGATTCTATTAGCGTGGAAACGCCTGAACTCGGCTCAGAAGGAAGGTATTCCCAGGCAGCAACCCTGCCGGGAGGGGTTAAGGCGCCGGCGGCCATAAGACACGCCTCCTGTGACGCAATGACGCCGGGGGAGGTGCGCTGCGCTGTGCCCGCCCAGTCCAGGCGTTTCCGGTTCA